CTCATCATCCTCCCTTCTAACGAGCAGGGTAGATGTTACTGAGTATCATTTAGGTGCTGTCCCATGCTGGACACCACAAAATGTGAGGCCTGTGCTCTCGTGGCTGTGGGGGCCCATTATGGCCAGAACCCCCTCAGGGCAGCATGTATCCAGTCTTGGAGAGGGCTGCCATGAGAAGTACTTCAAGAGAAAGATGAGGTTTTTTGCTACTGTAAAGATTCATCACCTTGTAAACCCGTCTGAGGAGTTCTATTCTGCCCCATAGGGTCACTCTGAGTCAGAATCATTGGCAGTGAGTTTGGATTATTTCTGATAGGTGGGAAATGGGATCTCAAAGTTTTACTTTTTCACTTTTAGATTTCTAACAAAATTGAGTGTTTCTTCACATCCTTTGTGGGACTTCTGTAAATTCTTTGTAGGAATTTTGCCCAATTTTTAATCTTAATTATTTGTCAGAGTTACATGCAGAGAATGTATACTTTTGTGAAGCTTATAGAGTAGGCACACCATGGGGTGTGGCCCAGTGAAAACCAGGCACCAGAGTCCTCTGGAACTGTGGTCATATGGAACAGTGGAGTCATATGGAACACACTCAGTTCCTCTAGCCACAAGTTGTGTTTATACATGCTATGTGTTGTCTACCATGGAAGTTCATTGGAGGCTCTGCCAGGCTTTTAACTGGAAACAGGTGGTGGACTGTGAGTTAAGCATTGGGCTGCTGCCTGCAGGGTTGTCTATTCAAACCCACCATCTGAGGGAGAAAGGCTATCTGCTTCTGAAAAGATTTATAGCCTTGAAGCCCCTGTGGAATAATTTGACTCTGTCTTGTAGAGTGGCTATGAGTTGGGACCAACTCAATGGTAGTGGGTTTAGTTGGTTTGTTCTGGTCACTTAGGAAAGACCATTGGTGGCAAAATAGGTTAGGCTAACTGAAAGATCAGTAGTTTGGACTCTTCAGCCACTGAGAGAAAGAAAGATAAGACTGTTTACTTCTATAAATATTTACTGCCTCAGAAACCCCAAGAATCACTTCTACACTGTCCTAGGGTGGCTGTGAGTCAGAACCAACTTGATGACAGTGGGCTTGGGCTTGGTCACATAGGACCCCTCTGCCTAGCAGACATCACAATCATGGAGTCCCAGAAGGAGAGTGGGACTCTTTCAACACAAGATGGGTGGGAATCCTTCCCAAATCCTCCAGGTTTCTTGATGTCAACCCTGGCCTGACCTTGCAGCTGGACCTTCTAAGGAGAATTACCATCTGGGCCCTGCCAATTAGATTCTTTCTGTGCAAAGATGATGGTAGCTGTTAGTGCTCTTTCCTTGTTTTCCCTCGGGACTTGACAGGTGTCTTGTGTGGAGTTATTCTGAGACTGTGAGATTGCCCTAGACTTATCCTTCTTCACCACCATTTTCACATTCTCTATCTTAGTCCCGTCCCCCATGGTATTTAAAATACCGGTGCATAGCTTGCAGAATCACAGCAACTCACAAGCCACTACGTACAACAGACTGACAGATGAGTGGTGATAACTTCACTCGCATGATATCCCATGAGAGTAAAGTTTGGCTAAAGGTAATACAGAAACAGCTGCAAGCATACATTGACAGAGAACTTCCAGAGGTTCAAGCCAGATTCAGAAGAGGCCGTGGAATGAGGGTTATCATTGCTGATGTCCGATGGATCTTGGCTGAAAGCAGAGAATTATCCGAAAATGTTAACCTGTGCTTTATTGACTATGCAAAGGCTTTTTATTGTGTAGATCATGACAAGCTATGGACAAGATTGCAAAGTATGAGTATTCTGTAACTGTTAACTGTGCTCATAAGGAATCTATACCTGGGCCAAGAGACAGTTGTTCGAACAGAACATGGGACACTGAATGGTTTAAAATTAAGAAAGTTGTGTGACAAGATTGTATTCTTTCACCATATTATTCAACTTGTATGCTGAGCAAATAATTCAAGAAGTATATAAAGAAAAACGTGGCATCAGGATTGGAGGAAGACTCATTAACAACCTGCGATGTGCAGATGTTACAACCTTGCTTGCTGAAAGTGAAGAGGGTTTAAAACATTTACTGATGAAAATCAAAGAGCACAGCCTTCAGTATGGATTACATCTCAATGTCAAGAAAACAAAAATCCTCACCACTGGACAAATAATATTCTTATCAATGGAGAAAAGATTGCAGTTGTCAAGGACTTCATTCTTCTTGGATCAACTATCAACACTCACGGAAGCAGCAGTCAAGAAATCAAATGATGTATTGCATTAGGCAAATCTGCTGCACAAGACATTTTTAAGGTGTTGAAGAGCAAAGATGAGCACTAAGGTGTACCTGACGCAAACCATGGTATTTTTAGTAACCTCATATGCATGCGAAAGCTGGACAGTAAATAAGGAAGACCATAGAAGAATTGATGCATTTGAGTTATGGTGTTGGAGGAGAATATTGAAAGTGCCATGGGTTGCCAAAAGAACAAACAGATCCATGTTGGAAGAAGTGCAGTCAGAGTGCTCCTTGGAGGCCAGGATGGCCAAACTTCTCTCTTATACTTTGGACATATTGTTAGGAGGGACCAGTACAGAAGGATATCATGTTTGGTAGGGTGGAGGGTCAGAGAGAAAGAGGAAGACTCCCAATGAGATGGATTGGCCAGGTGACAGCATCGATGGACTCAAGCATGGTAACAATAGTGAGGGTGGCCCAGGATCGGGCAGTGTTTTGTTCTGCTGTGCATAGGGTCACTATGAGTTGGTACCAACTCGATGGCACCTAACAACAACATCTTAGTCGTTTTCATTGCTTCCACAGTTATTGTCAGTCCACATTAGGGAAGAGCTTTCTTTCCCCCCACCTATGTGTTCACCTTTTATTTATATCAGTGCGCCTCACACATTCATTCATTGGATTATTATTAATACTGTTGCATTTTGTTTTAAGGGTCACCAATTGCCAGTCATCTGACCCAGGCGATATTTGTGAGTCAGAGATTTGTTACAGACAGCAAGCAGAACTCAACCTTCCATGCATATTTACACTCAGGATATTGCAACGAAATGGTGATGGGAGGAGGTCACCAACTTAAACCCTTTTATCTTAAACCCCAAACAGCCAAAACGCATTTCCATTGAGTTGTTTGCTACTTCAGGCAACCCTAGACAATAGAGTAGAATTGCTTCATAGGGTTTATCAGGCTGTACTGGAGCAGACAGCTTCATCTTTCTATCTCAGAGCAGCTAGTGGATTTGAACTACTCAAACCTTGTTGTGAGAAGCCTGGTGCTTAACCCACTGCACTATTGGGGCTCCTTTCCTATCACAAGGCTGTAAGCAAACATGTCAATTACGCCTGTTTGCCTTCTCGATTCCTAGAACTACCTTCTTGTCATACAAGGACCATACCCAAGGTTATGTAAAGGGACTGGCCCTGGATGAATGAACCCATGCATATTGTTTCAGGAATCTGTTACATTCAAGGATGTGGCTGTGGACTTCACCCAGGAGGAGTGGGGCTATCTTGATTCCCCCCAGAGAGCCTTATACCGGGATGTCATGATGGAGAACTACCGAAACCTTCTTGCCCTTGGTAAGAAAGCACTAGGCACTCTCCCGCAGGGTAGATGTTACTAAGTGTCTCCTCAGTGCCACCCTGGGCTGGGCCCTAGGCAATTTGGGAGGCATAGGCTCTTGTGGCCAATGGGACCCACTTGGGTCAAAAATCCCTTGGGAGGAGGTGCTGTGAGAATGCTAAGGCTGCAATCAGGCTTGGAGAGTCAGGAGCATGGAGGAAGTTGGCCTACTGGGTAGAGGGGTGAACTGAAGGACAGGGGGGATTTGTACCCCAGCTCCCCAGGTGATGTCAGGGTGGCTTTAGGAGATGGGGATCCTTGGCGCCTGCACATCAGACTGCTGTGTGCCATGGACATCCCGACCATGGTGGATCCCAGAAGCCACTGCCTATTGCTCCCAAGGAATGAGGCCATTGAGGCAGCCACTGTGTCAGTCCATCGCATTGAGGGTCTTCCTCTTTCTTGCTGACCCTCTGATTTACCAAGCCTGATGTCCTTCTCCAGGGAATACTTCCTCTTAATAACATGTCCAAAATAAGGCAGATGAAGTCTCGCCATCCTCACTCTCTAAAGTGCATAGTATATGTTACTGAGTGTCTTTTTGAGCTTGCCCCATGCTGGGCACCATGAGATGTGATAGGCATGAGCTCTCATGGTTCTGTAGATCCACGTGGGCCAGAACCTCCTCAGGGCAGCACAACAGCAGACTCCGCCCAGAGGACCCTCCTGCAGTGTCTTCTCATTCCACAGTGTGGCGGCTCAGGGCAGGGGCCTGCAGAGCAGCTGCTCACCAAGCCGCCGGCTTTCTCCCCATGAGTAGGGCCTCCAGTCTGCAAGCCAGATATGATCTCCCACCTGGAGCAAGGTGAGGCCCCATGGCAAGTGTATCCACGAGTCTACACAGCTGCCTGTCCAGGTGAGTCTTGAGTCCCAGGGGAGCCCCTGACAGGCTCTCACCACCTCCCTGCCACCTCGCAACCCATCTCCTATACAGTCCCTCAGCCTGGGCTCCACGGGGACTTTCTCAGTCCTCTCCTAGACCCATCCCTTCTTCTTTCTCTTCCCTTGACACACATATCGAGCACCACATGTGTGTTGGGAATGTAGCAGTGAACAAAATGGACACAAATGCCTGTCTTCTAATGGCTGGAGATGGAGAGAACACGTAAACAAAACCCAAACCCAAAGGCACTGCTATTAAGTTGAGTCTGACTCACAGTGACACTATAAAACACAGAACGGCCCCAATGGGTTTGCAGGCTGTACATCTTAACAGAAGCAGACTGCCTCATCTTTCTCTCTTGGTGGATTTTATTTAGCAGCCCAATGCTTAAGTAATTACATCACCAGGTCTCATGTATATCCATATTTAGCAAGTATGGCTTCTTAGAAGTACAAAGAAAAATAAAGCAGAACAGGGATGGGGAGTGTGCAACTGGTGTTTTAAACCTAGTGGTCAGGTACTGATCCCTGAAAATGGGTTAGCTGAGTTGTACACGTGCCTAGCTAACCCAAGTCTGCGAGGGCCACATGGTTAGGCTCTGAGTATAAGACTGCCATGGCCTCAGGTTTTCCTCTCTAACATTTAATTGTTTTAGAGAAATTTTTTCTGGATAAATGCATAATAATAAGTGAATTAATTCTTTTCAGGTTAACTTAGTGAAAAGTGAATACTGAGCATATTAAATACCAGTTGCCATCAAGTCAGCTTCAATTCACAGCACCCCCATATGTGTCATAGTAGAACTGCACTCCATAGTGTTTTCAGTGATTGAATATTTAGAAGTCAGATAGCCAGGCTTTTCTTGTACCTCTAGATGGACTCAAACCTCCAACCTTGTCGTTAGTAACTGAACATTCACCAATTGCACTCATTTTTATATAGCAATTAAGCTTTGCGCTGCTAACTGCAAGGTCAGTGGTTCAACCCATCAGCTGCCCTGAGGGAGAAAGATGAGACTGTCTGCTCCTGTAGGGATTTATAGTCTCAGAAACTGTATGTAGTACTACTCTGTCCTCTAGGGACACTGTGTCAGAATACTGGGTGGCATTGGTTTAGTTTCATTTGGTTTATAAAGCCTGACAAATACAACTCATCATAGACATGCTAGATTGTCTTTATTAAAAAATAATAATAACAAAAATTCTGACATCTTCTCATTAAGGAGGAAGTTAACTCTGATAACAAAATTCACAGGGAAGTAGGGCTCAAATCTCCTTGATCTCACATATCAGAGGTAGCTCCAAGGCCTCCAAGAAAGATGGTCTTGGGATATAAAACATAAGGGGCATTTTATTGTAAAAATCTAATAACATATACTAGTTCAGCATTTTCGTGTATAGAGTTGAGTAACATCGATGACATCAGTCATGTGAGCCATATCACTAACCATTGCCAAATTCCCATCACCATGAACAGAAAGATTCCTAAACAGTTCCTTTTCCACCCTTCCTTCTGTCTTCAGTAACCACTAGTCAGCTTTGTTCTCTATACATTTGCTTTTTCTAGGTATTTCCTTGGAGTGAGACCATACACTGTTTGTCTTTTGGTGGCTGACATCCTTTACTCAGCGTGATATCTTCCAGGCTCACCCACGTCATAGCACGTACCAGCACTTCACTTCCCTGTGTGACTCAGTTAGTCTACTACATGTTGTCTCTAACTAAGAGATGGAGTGGGGGAATTCTGTGCCTTTTGGCACCAAGGAACTTACACTTTTTTTCTTTGGGCTCTGGTGTGTGTCCATTGCCTGGCATGGTTTTATACACAGTGTCAATCCACTGATGTTTCTGTGATGAATCTTGTCTCGATTGTCCAGCCCCACCAGTTTTCCTTTGCCACTTCTTTTTCAGACTTCATTGATCCTAACTTTGCACTTCCAATGGCCCCTTCCCTAGGACCTACTTTCCCCCCCCTGGCCTGCTGTAATAGATGCTTGTAGGGTTTCTGCCTTCACCTCTTCAAGCTCTTCCACTCTTGTTTTCAGGGCCTGCAATTGTGTTCCTCAAAAGTCCCAGGATTGAATAATAAAAGTGGCCATCATAGCAGTGAGATGAAAAATCCCAGGGCCACTTTCCCTTCTGATCACAAACACCACATTTCCCATTTCTTACAGAGTTGGAGACCGCACCTGCTAGGAGCAAGGAGTGCTCATATGAGGAAGATCCTGCCCAGGATTCAACAGTGGGAAGGCTTCTGGGTACCAGACCTTATAGCTCCATTTGGGGCGATACATGGGACTGGGAAGAGCAGGCAAGTGTTCTGCCTAGATGCAAGGACATGCTCTGGAAGCCAGCACCTTCCAACCATGAGGACTTGTCCACAGAGCAGGGAGATTCTGCATTCAGGTCCGTCTTCTTGACCCAACAAAGTGTCCCCGCAGAGGCTGGCTCTCGTAACAGACAAAGGGAGAGCTTCCAGTCCCTTGAGAGCATCACCCAGCACCAAAGGACCTGTGCAGGGAGTAATGCCTTCCAGCCAACTGTCTCCAGAAAACACACCTGGACAGATGAGCCTCGAGGAACGGACCCCAGAGTGGATGTATTTGCTTGTGGTGAGTGTGGGAAAACATTCAGGCAGAGTGCCTCACTAGCCCTGCACCATCGCTGGCACACCCGAGAGAAGGCTTACAAATGCCAGGAGTGTGGCAAAGCCTTCCCCTGGAGTGCCAACCTCATTGAGCACCGGCGCGTCCACAGTGGTGAGAAACCTTTTTTCTGTGGTGCCTGTGGCAAGGCCTTCAGCTGCCACTCATCCCTCAATGTCCACCAGCGAATCCACACAGGTGAGCGTCCCTACAAGTGCACCCAGTGCACCAAAGCCTTCAGCTGCAGCTCGCTGCTCCACATGCACCTGCGAGTGCACACAGGCGAGAAACCCTACCAGTGTGCTGAGTGCGGCAAAGCCTTCAACCAGAGGACTCACTTGACACGCCATCTCCGCATCCACAGCGGTGAGAAGCCCTATACGTGCATTGCCTGTGGGAAAGCCTTCACATGCCACTCATCCCTCACAGTGCACCAGACAATCCACAGCGGTGAGAAGCCCTTCAAATGCAGTGAGTGTGACAAGGCCTTCAACAGCCGCTCCCGTCTCACCCTGCACCAGCGGATCCACACCGGGGAGAAGCCCTTCAAGTGCAATTCTTGTGGAAAAGGCTTCAGCTGCCAGTCGTACCTGCTCGTGCACCAGCGGACCCACAGCGGTGAGAAGCCCTTCAAGTGCAACGCGTGTGGTAAGGCCTTCAGCTCCCATTCCTATCTGATTGTGCACCAGCGGGTCCACACTGGAGAAAAACCGTTCGACTGCAGCCAATGCTGGAAAGCCTTCAGCTGTCACTCATCCCTGATTGTGCACCAGCGGGTTCACACTGGTGAGAGACCATACAAGTGTACTGAGTGTGGCAAAGCCTTCAGCCAGAACCACTGCCTCATCAAACACCAGAAGATCCACTCTGGGGAGAAGGTGTTGAAGTGTAAAGAGTGCGGTAAAATGTTCAGCTGGAGCTCCCACCTCATTGAACACCAGAAACTGCATAGCCCAGAGAAGCCATTTGCTGCTCAGTTCAACAAGCACCTGTTGGGAACATACTGCATGCCGGGCAGCTTGCTCAGCATGAGGGGTACAGAATTTGGTGATGTGGGGGCAGTTGATGCAATTTTCAGTGGCTGAGCTGCTGTGCTGGTGCAGCCTTCAGCCATAGGATGTTCATCTTGAGGGGCAAACCTGCAAACTGATGGGGCTTCTCTCCGCAGACACTGTCCTTGCGTTTCCATCAAGTGCATCAACATCCTTATTCCAGGTGAATTCAGGTGTATCTCCAGGTGTGGGAGACTGTCCTTATCCCCTATTCAGAGCATCCATATGTGGTGAACCCTCTGTAGTTAGAGGCAATTCCCTCCTCAAGAAGGAAGATGGGTTCCCAGGAGGAGAGAGTAGAAGGCCACTTAGGGCTGACTGTCACCCTGCTTTCTTGATGGACAGGAAATGATTAACGAGAGGACTCCGTTTTTTCCAGCCGTCAAAAGAAGACTAGTTAACTGTTATGTGTCCTGACATCAGGACTGTCCTCTGTAAATGATTAGTTTGGGAATAAAAAAGAAAAAGCCGATTATAGCACTTGTCTGAACAGTTACTTTCTTCACTCTAACAAGTGGGTAGTATTAGGTTCCAGGAGGAGAGACTATCTTGGACAGATTTTGGGGAAACAGTTTATTTCCTGAACTTATTGGTATGATGCTGTAGGATCAACACTAGACTGCTGGATGCAAGGTCAGTGCTTCACACCCAACAGCCACTCATTGGAAATCCTACACAGGGTCGCTATGAGTCAGAACCAACTTAGCAGCACATAGTAACAACCTCATGTAAGGAGCTCTGCTGCTGAGGCATTCATTAGTGTCAGCACTGTCAGGCAGGTGGCTATTAGAGAACAACCTAGCCTCAGAATAGCCAGGTCCTGAAATACCTACAACACACTTCTCACCCTCATTGCTGTTAGGTGCTGTCCAGTCAGTGCTAACTCATAGTAACCCTAATACAGCAAAACGAAACTTTGCTCAGTCCTGCGCCATTCTAGCAATCATTGCCGTGTTTGAACTCATTGTTAACAGCCACTGTGCCAATTCATTTTGTTGGGGATCCTCCTCTTTTTAACTGACCCTTTACTTTACCAAGCATGATGTGCTTCTCCAGGGTCTGGTCTCTCTTGATGTTGTTGTTAGGTGCCATCGAGTCAGTACTAAATCATAGTGACCCTTTGCACAACAGAACGAAACACTGCCTATTTCTTGATCAACCTCACAATTGTTGCCATGCTTGAGCCCATTGATGCTGCCACTTTGATAATCCATTTCGTTGAGGGTCTTCCTCTTTTCCTCTGACCCTTCCTTCACCTTATCAAATATGATATCCTTCTCTATCGACTGGTTCCTTCTGACAGTATATCTGATGTATGAGATATGAAGTTTGGCCATTCTGACCTCTAAAGAGCACAGAGCTCTGGCTGCACTTCTTCCAACACAGATCTGTTGATTCTTTTGGCAGTCCATGGTAGTTTCAATATTCTCCTCCAACACCATAATTCAAATGCATCAATTCTTCTATGGTCTTTCTTATTCACTGTCCAGCTTTTGCATGCACATGAGGTTATTGAAAATACCATGGTTTGGGTCAGGTGCACCTTAGTCCTCAAGCTGACATTTTTACTCTTCAACACTTTAAAAAGGTCTTGTGCAGCAGATTTGCCTAATACAGTACGTCATTTGATTTCTTGACTACTGCTTCCATGAGTGTTGATGGTTGATCCAAGAAGAATGAAGTCCTTGACAACTTCAATCTTTTCTCCATTGATAAGAATGTTGTTTATTGGTCTAGTGGTGAGGATTTTTGTTTTCTTTACAGTGAGATGTAATCCATACCGAAGTCTGTGGTCTTTGATCTTCATCAGTAAGTATTTTAAATCCTCTTCACTTAACAGCAAGCAAGGTTGTATCATCTGCATATCGCAGGTTGTTAATGAGTCTTCCTCCAATCCTGATGCCACATTTTCCTTCATATAACCCAACTTCTCGGATTATTTGCTCAGCATACAAGTTGAATAAGTATGGTGAAAGAATCCAGCCCTGTTGCACACTTTTCTTAATTTTAAAATATTCAGTGTTCCCATGTTCTGTTCGAACAACTGCCTCTTGGTCCATGTACAGATTCCTCATGAGCACAAGGAACTGTTCCGGAATACTCATACTTTGCAATGTTGTCCATAGCTTGTTATGATCCACACAATCGAAAGACTTTGCGTAGTCAATAAAGCACAGGTAAATATCTTTCTGATAGTCTCTGCTTTCAACCAAGATCCATTGGACATCAGCAATGATATCCCTCATTCCACATCCTCTTCTGAATCCAGCTTGAACCTCTGGAAGTTCTCTGTCAATGCATTCTTGTAGCCATTTCTGTATTACCTTTAGCCAAACTTTACTTGCATGGGATATCAATGATATTTTCTGATGATTTCTGCATTCCATTGGGTCACGTCTCTGGAATGGGCACAAATACGGATCTCTTCCAATCACTTGACCAGATAGTTGTCTTCCAAATTTCTTGGCAAAGATGAGTGAATGCCTCCAGGGCCGCCTCACTTTCTTGTAATCATTTCAATTTTTATTCCATCAATTCCTGATGCCTTATTCTTTGCCAATTCCTTCATTGCACTTTGGACTTCTTCCTTTAGTATCATTGGCTTTTGAAATGA